GCTGCAGCTTCTCTTGAGTAAATCCTCCAATTCAACCCCCAAGGGAGGAACTGCGTCATCCCCACCAAGGACATCGCACCCACGCCCTCCAGCTCAAGACGCAGCCGGCCTTCTTCACCACACCTAAGCCTTTCTCTCTGCAGCACCTCAGGGCGCCCATCTTCCTGAACTCTCTTGTACTCAAAGAGAATGAAAAATAAAATTTTAAAAAAATAGCCATCTGGTGAGGTGGGTGTGAGGTGTGAAAGCCAAGTAGCCATGTTGATCTTCTCTTCTGCAAGGCCTAAAACCCCCCCTGTGTGTCTGACCTGATTAGTGGATTTGCTCATCCTAAACCACGAACCTCCATAGTGGAGCCACAGATACATGGAATGAAACAAAGGATCATCGATTACTTGTGAAAAAATTAATTCTGAGGAAAAACAGTTCTGGAAATCACTGGTTGTGTCTCAAACTAATTTTCCTAATTGTGATTGGGTTTGGAGGGTACCCCAACCATCATCCCAATTCAATAAAGAGTTAAAATTTGTTCTTATGATCTATATTATGAATCTCCAAGAACTTTGGAATTGGGGGACAAAAATATCCTCGACTAGTAAATCAAAAGCAAATAATCTTTAAAATGCAGCATTTTCCTGGGACACATTTTTTTGCCTTCATTCATGAGTCTTTAAAATGAGTTTAGTTTGAGTAATGTGGTATTCCCAAAACCGTTCTTGATTAAATCCACAAATCTACTCTTGAATTATGGTTTGGATTTATAGTAATAGAAGGTTTTAAATGTGAGGATTGGTGTAAAGTTACTGTTTCATCACCACTGTAAGTGTGAACCATTGCTGTAGGAATCAGGTGCTAAACTTTATATTATTGTGGGCAGCCATTTTGTTCTGAGAGCAACTGTAGATGCTTCTGATTTTCCTGAACTCTTTTCCATTTATGTAAGAGCCATGGAGGCGCAGTGGTTAGAGTGCAGTACCGCAGGCGGCTTCTGCTGACTGCCGGTTGCCTGCAATTTGGCAGTTCAAATCTCACCAGGCTCAAGGTTGACTCAGCCTTCCGAGGTGGGTAAAATGAGGAGCCAGGTTGTTGGGGGCAAAAGGCGGACTCTGTAAAACCGCTTAGAGAGGGCTGTGAAGCACTGTGAAGCGGTATATAAGCCTAAGGGCTATTGCTATTTTTCTGTCCTGTCTCATGCACAAAGGTGGATTTGTGGCTGTGCAGATGCAGATAGATAATTCCACAAAGCATCCATAACAAAGTACATTTATTGGTACATCAGGTATCTTCATAACTCGCATTTGTGACGAAGCTCTTCTATAATGACCAATCCTTTGTACATCAGCATTGCAGGTAAAAATGGTTATTTTCCTAACCCATCACGTTGCGTTAGAAAGAAAGCTGTTATCAGTCCATGAGTGAAGGCAAGAATGGAGGGAAACCTCCCTCAACCCCTCAAGGGTCAATTTAGTGGCCAATCAGGATTACAGATATGGCCACGTGACATGAACTACATTTCCCAGGATACCTTTAACTACATTTACCATGATGCATTCCCTTACGGGGACAGCTCACAATTCCTAAGCAACTAACCAATTCCCATAGACTGGCTGGGACAGCACACTCCCTGCCTGGAATTGTAAATTCCACTATTAAAAGAAGAGGAAAAAAATTAACTATAAACTAAGATAAGCAGTAAACAGTAATACTAACTGAATAGCATATAAGTATATAACTAAGATAAACAATTAGCTATATAACTAAGAAAAAACCAGTAAACATTAATAAATCATCAAACAAAGCAAAGCATGCAAAGCTTGAGGTTCAATCTTCAAGTTCGGCCTCTTGGTGCAAGTCTGGTAGTCACCTCTGGTGGCCTTTTAGGTTGTACAGGAACTCTTGGCAGCAAATGTGAAAATCTGGTGGTCACTTCTGGCAGCCTTTTAGGGTTGGAACGGTACTCTTGCTTCCACGGTGTCAAAGGGTGTCGGGAAGCTGTTGGAAAGGGTGTTGCAGAGGCATATGCCCATGTAGAGCATCTTAGTGAACGTCTGGTGATTGTTGGCATCCTTTTAGGGTGTCCTAGAGAAAGGGTAGTGATCGGCGGCAGCCTTTAAGGCCAGCGTCAGAAGACCGTTGGAATGGATAGTGCTAAGGTATTTGCCAGGGTTGGAGCCTGGATCTGGGCGTCACTGACAATTCCTACGATCCCCCATCCTAGTGGAGATTTGATGGCCACTGGGCCGTCTACATGGCCACCAACTGATTCGGAGAAGAGAAAGGTGCGTGGGGCCTTATTCCCCAGCAAGAGTAGGATATCAGCCTCCGGATCTAGAGCGGGAAAATCATGAGCCAGGTGCTGTAGGTGAGGAATGCTACTTATAACCTCAGGTATCGCGATCTGACTGCGGTCGTTTGGTGCCCCATCGCACTCAAACACGGGCGGTAGTGGGAATCGGTACTTCCATCTAATGACTCTATGCAAAGTCCAGTAGCTCTCCTCCCCACAGTGCTTCTTGGTCCATGGCCTGTTGATACAGTGAAGGGAAATTTGTTTTGTTGCACCTCAAAGAGGTCGAAGGATGCAGGTCTGGCCAGGGTTCAGGTGCTTTGAGTGTCTATCCGCACGTACATTTTCACGACATCTTCAGGGCATCCTTCAGTGTACACTTTGGCTAAATAGATGGGAAGACACAAAGGAGGGCATGGTGAGTCAGCGCACACTGCCGTGTGGTTGACACTCGCCACTGGTTCCGGGGGTGCCTCTCTAGCACATTGAGGCTCCTTGGCCAGGGGAGGGTTATGTGTTGTCTGCTGTGGTGGTTTGGATTCTGGATGCAGAGCGGCTGGGTGCTCGTTGCTGTCAGCATCTGCGTAGGCAAAGCATTCTGGCTCAAAGGCATGTGTTGTAGACGGTTCGTGGTTCTCCTCAGAGTACTTTGTGAGGAGGTCGTGATCCATTAACACATGCACAGGTGGTGTCGCTTGCTGCCGGGTGTGGGTACCACATTCGTCTTGCCATACATCTGCGTTAGAGTTGCTTGGAAGGTATGGCAGGAACTCTGTTGCCTGTGGATCAAGTGTGGCCACGGTGGTTGCTTTCATGCCTACTTGTTGGGAAATCTTCTTAGTAAGTGGTGGGCCAAGTTGCTTGCCCTGTAGGTTTTGAGACCTTGGTGTAGGTTCTTTGTTTTTGGGACTGGAATCTCGGGTTTTAGGTTTTATGATGTCAATGTTTGGACTGTCATCTGTGGTTGAGGGTCGCCCCTTCAATTCCTTGATTCTGGGAGACTGCCAAGTAAATGTGCCAGTTTCACATGCTCGTGTTGTAGCAAGTGCTGCTCATCCACGTAGGTCTTGGCACATTTATCTGGGCTCTGTCTTTTCAAGTCTCCAAGGTGGAAGTTGAGGGAGGCGGCATTGGCCTCCTGCAATGTTGCGGCCCGTGCTCTCTTTGCTGCCGTCACTCTTTGTCATTCGAGCAACTCCACTTGGGCCTGAGCTTTGGCCAGTTCTGCCTGTTGGTTGGCCTGAGCTTTAGCCAGTTCTGCTTGTCATCTGGCCAGTTCTGCTTTCTGTTACCTCCATCATGAAAGGTAAAACTGATTTTGCTACCGCAGCTTCAATTGGAGCTTCTACAGCCCGGTCGGAGTACCTTGCTGCTTTGGAGGCCTTCTTCGAATGGTGGGAAGAAGCTGCTTGGGATTGAAGACATATGTTGGACGTGGCCTTCTCCCTTGACACTCCTCCCCGCTGTAGCGCATTGTGGAGCACTGCCTGGAGGGCTGTCTTGCTTTCTTCAACACAGTCTTCGCATTCCTTGTGAAACTCCTCGAAGTATCATCAACAACCCAACCGAAAAGTCAACTTGCAAACTTAGAAACAGAGGTTTTTCCACAGTGCATCTCTATTTTGGGTTTTGTTTTGTTTTTTGTCAGATATTAAACTTCCCTGAAGATCCCAAGGCAGAAGAGGCTTCTATGCGACATCCAACTATCAAAAAAGGAAAAAAACCTGAAGGAAAGAAAGGGTTTGTGGACATAAGAAAAAGGAAAACAAATATCCCTGAGAAAGTGTGAAAGTGTTAGATGGGGTCGTCAGCTAGGAGGCCCAGCTAGTATTCCAAGGAAAATGCCCTAAAGGCTGGGTACCATCTTTCAGATTCTGCCCATATCCAAAGAAATAGGGATAGAAAAACAGCCCAACGAGGAAAGACTTCTGGATCTTCTCTTCACCCTGAGAGGGTCAGATGTAAAAAAAGGATGAAGGATCTCCGATAAGTTGGCCAGTGGTGGGATTCAAATGTTTTTACTACCGGTTCTGTGGGCGTGGCTTGGTGGTGGCCGTGGGAAGGTTACTGCAAGATTCCCACTCCAAAGGAAGGACACTGCAAAATCCCCCTTCCCTTCCCACCCCACTAACCTGCTTTCCAGCTTCGTTCTCCTGTGCAGGGCAACCAAAGAAGACCCAGCCGATCAGCTGCAACTCGGGAGACAGAAAGGTGAAACATAATCAAGGGTGGAACTGAAAAACCTCAACAGTCCAGATCCAGACAAATCAATCCATCAAGATCCATTGGACCATATAGAGGAAAGATTATATTTCCTCAATATATTGAAGTACCAGCTCTGAAGAAGATAAAACCAAAAAGTACATTATGAAGAAAAGAGGTTGTAATGGAAATATTCCCAGCAGGCTCAAATCTACACCAAGATAGAAGTGAGATTCTTAGAATAAGATAATGTCCAGGATTTTGTCCTCTTTGATGTGTTTTCTCTTCCACCATAAATTGAAGCACAGCTCATTATCTCTTCAAGGGTGATGCCCATGTCTAGACTAACTAGACTGGACCAAGAGAGATACCTTTTGCTGCAATCAGGGATGACTTTGCTGCCTCCTTTTGGGTTGGAACACAATGCCACTGTACAATATCCCCTCTTCTTCCCATGGTGTAGGATGGTTCTCCCTTGTTGGTCCAGGAGGAGACGGGGTGAAGGAGTCCTGGATGCAGCTGTAGGTGACCTCAGAGTCCTGTGAAAAGTGAGGGAAAGAGAGGACATTGCTCAAACATTCAATCTGCCTGCAACTCCTTGAGGACAAGGGATTTCTCCATCATGTTGCAACATTTTTAGAAATAAGTATGTTTGACTGGTCTGCTGCAGCCTAGAAAGATTGCCAGCCCATCAAGGAAAAGAAGAAGGGTTGATCTTCGGCATCAGATCTGACCAAGCCAAATTTCCTGTCTCAGAATATGACTTCAGCAACAGAATGGTCAATGTCTGGAATACTCTACCTGACTCTGTGGTTTCTTCCCCAAACCCCAAAAACTTTAACTTTAGACTGTCTACTATTGACTTCACCCCCTTCCTAAGAGGCCTGTAGGGGGCATGCATAAGCGCACCAATCGTACCTACCATCCCTGTCCCGTTGTTTTTTATTTTTCTTATAAGTATCTATCTCTTGTATTCAAAACTACATTTATTCTTATCCCTGTATCTTGTAAGGGATTGACAAATCAAATAAATACTAAAAAAAAACCACCTTTCTTGCCACATTTGTTAAGTCAGAGGCTTCGGTTGTTAATTTAGTGACATGGTTGTTAAGGGAATCTGGCTTCCCCATTGACTTGGCTTGTCAGGTCGCAAAAAGGGATCAAGTGACCCCAGGACACTGCAGCCGTCATAAGTATGAGTCAGTTGCCAAGCATTCAAATTTTGATCAAGTGACCATGAGAATGACTAACAGTGATAAGTGTGGAAAATGGTCATAAATCATTTTTCTCAGTGCCGTTGTTACGTCAAATGGTCACTAAACGAACTGATGTAACACAACTACTACCTACAGTTGTAAAATATATTTATTTCTATAAAAATACAGGTTTGTGTCAGCATCTCTGACTCCATTTGGACACCAGCTGAGCAGTTCTCTGACAATCTCACAGAATAAGATTATGCCCAGGATTTTCCCCTATTCGATGTGTTTTCTCTTCCGCCGTAAATTGAAGCTCAGCTGCACCTCATCATCTCTTCAAGGGTGACGTCCATGTTTAGGCTGAATGAGAGACTGGACCAAGAGAGACACATTTTGCTGCAATCAGGGGTGATTTTGCTGTCTCCTTTTGGGTGGAAACACAATATCGCTGTACAAAATCCCCTCTTGTTCCCCTTGTGTTAGACAATTCTTCCTTGTTGGTCCAGGAGGAGACGGAATGAAGAAGTTCTGGATGGAGCTGTAGGCGACCTCAGAGTCCTGAGGGGAATGAGAAAACATTATTCAATCTGCCTGCAAGTGAAGAACCCATTGAGAACCTGGGATTTCTCCATCATGTTACAGCTTTTTTACAAATAAATAAGCTTAATATGGCATATGGCATACAATGGCATACAATGGCATACAATGATGGCATACAATGATTGGCATACAATGATTACCAGCCCATCAAGGAAAAAGATTGACTTTTGGCATCAGATCTGATCCAGTCCAGTTTCCTATCTCAAATTCCCAATGGTTTTGAGATGCTCCTGAGAAACCCACAGGGACAATCCCCTAAAAATTTGCCCCCAACACTTAATTAGAGGAATCTTTAATGGCTTCTAAGATGTTTGGATTTCTTAAACATTTCTTTCTGTTTGTGTGGGCTTCAGGGCCATTCAATTTCTTGGCCAATACATGATTTCTTAGGCTGGAGGCCACAAAGAGAATTATTCTGCTTCCCCATTTTTTAAAGAAAGATCTAGTCGTTCAAAAATTCCTCAATTCTTTGGTTGAAACCAAGTAAATCAAGAAAATTAGAGCAGATTTTCAGAGAGCTCAAGAGAAATGGTCTTATGAAAGTAAAATCCTGATTAAATTCAAGAGTTAAAGTTCAGAAGCTCTAAATCCTATCGGCATCATTCCTGTCTCTTCATGACAGTTGGGTGACACCATCAATACTGGTGATAAAATTTGGTTTCACTCTCCAGTGTAAATAGACCTCCTGCAGACCCTGATTAAAGTCACCCATGAATCCCACCAACTACCTTGACAGGTGAGGAAGTCGCTGCTATTGCGGCTTGAGGTTCCATCACTGCAAGATCATTTCTTTCCTCTTTCTTTTTCCTGAGGTGAAATCGTTCCTGGGATACTGATGCTTCCAAGGGAGAAATAATAATAAAAAGAAAGAAAGAAAGAAAATGGCTTATTTCCATCATCCTGACATATTGTTTGTCCTTCAGGCCTGGCTCTCCTTTCCTGCCTCCACAGAGAACCTCTCAGTCAACATCTCCAACCACATTAGGAGCCATCTGGGACCCCAGGTAAGGGAACCCTTGAACCCAAAACCGCTTCGCTTACTGCTCTTCTTCCTCCAGCAATAAAAGGCAAATGGAACCAGCAGGATTATAAGAGGAATCACCATCCAGGAATATCTCCACATAGGATCTGAATCTTGGATTCTCTGGATCGAAACTGGTTTGAGTAAGAAACAAGAAAAATGATTTAGTATTTCTTGGCAGAACATTTTTATTTATTTATTTATTTTATTTTTTATTTTGTTCATTTATTTTGATTTGTCAATCGCTTACAAGATAATAGATATAAGTATATACACAGTTATGAATACATGAAATGGGTACATATAAGAAAAATAAAAAACAATAGGACAGGGACGGTAGGCACGTTGGTGCGCTTATGCACGCCCCATACAGACCTCTTAGGAAAGGGGTGAGGTCAGTAGTAGACAGTTTTTGGGGTTTGGGGAAGAAACCACAGAGTCAGGTAGAGTATTCCAGACGTTGACCACTCTGTTGCTGAAGTCATATTTACTGCAATCAAGTTTGATGCGGTTTACCTTGAGTTTGTATCTATTGTGTGCTCTTGTGTTGTTATGGTTGAAGCTGAAGTATTCATTGACAGGTAGGACATTGCAATGTATGATTTTATATACCATACTTAGATCAGACTGAAGACAGCATAATTTTTCTAGTTTTTCTAGGTCTAGAATTTCAAGTCTGGTGGCATAAGGTATTCTACAACGAGTAGAGGAGTGGAGAACTTGTGAAATATTTCTGGACTTTCTCAACTGTGCTAATATCAGATACGTAATGTGGGTTCCAGACTGATGAGCTGTATTCAAGTATTGGTCTAGCAAATGTTTTGTATGCTCTAGTTAGTACTGTGATATTACCAGATAAAAAGCTACGTAGGATTAGGTTAACAACGCTTAATGCCTTTTTGGCTATGTAGTTGCAGTGGGCTCTAGCACTTAGATCATTAGAGGTGAGTATTCCAAGGTCCTTTACAGAGCTTGGATCATCAACTTGACTATTCAGCTCGTATTTTATTTTCTGATATTTTTTTTTTGCCAATATGTAAGACAGAGCATTTATTTGTTGAGATTTGAAGTTGCCATTTGTTTGACCATTCTGATACATAGTCAAGATCTTTTTGAAGGGTAGCAGTATTGCCTGTGGTATTGAACAGCTTTACATCATCAGTGAAGAGAACGCAGTTGCTCTTAATATGCTAACAGAGGTCATTTATGTGGAGTATGAGGAGAGTTGGTCCTAGAACACTGCCTTGGGGGACACCACTATTGACAGGTACAGAATTTGATAGGACACTCCCAATTTTGACCATTTGTTGTCTGTTTGACAGGAATGCTTCTATCCAGTTATTCAGTTGTCCAGAGATACCATAAGATTTTAATTTTAGGAGTAGTTTGTCATGTACCACTGAATCAAATGCTTTACAGAACTATATGTAGATTGCGTTTATTGTTTTGCCCTAATTGAGTTGTGTAGTCCATATGTTTTTGCAGTGTAAGAGTTGCAGATGACAGTGGGTTGTGACTAAAGGTTAGGCAAGGAACTGGTCCTGAAAGATTTTTCAAAGATTATGCTTAGAGGTTCTGCTATGGCAGTGAATAGCTTTTTCAAGAAATAGGCACATATTCCATCTGGTCCAATAGATAGAGGTGGTTTTAGATTGCATAGTGATTTTTCAACATTGTCTTCTGTAAAATCGATATGTATTAAATCATTGTAGTTTTCTGTAGTTCGGGTAGGAAATACTGGGCATGATCCATTGCTATTTACAAATACTGAGCCAAAGAATGTGTTAAAGATGTTGGCTTTAATGGTGTCATTGTTGCAGTCTTTACCATTAGGTCCTATCAGGGGTGGGATAGACCTTGAGTCTTTTAGTTTGTTGTTTACAAAATTGTAAAAAGCATGGGTGGAATTGGTGCCTAGAAGGTTTTCCTCTTGTTTAATGTGATAATTGGTGCATTCAGTCTTTATCTGGTGGCATAAATTTTTGTATTGGGTTTTGAAATTGGCAACATGACCAGATTTGTTTTTCCGACAAAGCGATCTCTTTTTGGATTGAAGTTTCCTTATTATTATGGGTAATCTTTTTTTTGGGGGGGGGGGGATTGTTGTTGGTACATATAGTTTGATGACTCTTTTGACTTCAAGTAAAAATATGTTGTAATGGTCTTCAACAGTATTGCATCCAGTGAATAGAGATTGCCAATCAAGGGATGAGAGATCGTTGTCTATAAGATTATAGTTGCCTTTTTTGAAGTTACAATTTGGGATTACGTCATTGTGATGATTTTTGTGTGGGCGTATGTTGAGACAAAAGTCAATCATATTGTGGTCACTGTTGGAAAAGGGTTCTTTAGTTTGTATTCCGTAAATTAAATTCAAACTATTGCAGAAGATGAGATCGAGGCAGTTGTTTAGTCTAGTATTGTTGGTTACTAGTTGTTCCAGTCCCAGATTTGTAACAGCATTGTAGAAGGGTGCGTGTATGGGTTCAGTTGTACATTAGTTTAGGGTCCAGTCAATATGAAGTAGATTGAAGTCACCAAGAAAGATAAAAGCGTGTGGGCAGGATGTTGCCCATATTAGTAATAAATTTAGCTTGATGATGTGTTCGATGTCATAATCAGGTGCTCTGTAACATAGTAAGAATCAAAATGTGATATTTAAAGATAGTTCACAGATGATGGTCTCAGGAAGAGCAAGCTCCTGGTAACTTGGATGTTTTTTAGATGTAAGGACTTTTTATAGAAGATAGCAACACCACCTCCTCCACGAACCTCCTCCACGAATTTCCCAATCTGATCGGTACACATGATAGTCTCTTACTGTGGTAATGGAGTCAGGGAGAGATGCATTGAGCCATGTTTCACAGTCAAATATGATGTCGAATTTAGCCATATTTAGTAAGAGGAGAAATTCAGGTATTTTATTCACAATGCTTCTTGCATTGAGTACCTTGCATTTAAGGTCAGCAGTAGTTTGAACTGAGATAGTTAGGGGCGTGCCTAGTCTTGGGTGATGGTGGATTGGCTGAGGTATGGTTGTGGTTGAAGGTTAAAGCTGAGTTGTGGGTTGTGTGACTTACAGTCAACATGGTAATCAATGTACAGGTCCTTCTCTCCATTGTCTAGATGTTTTTTGAGTTCAGTGCGGAGTACACGGGAGCGGGCACGTTTCTGTATGGTTAGGTCAGGGCGAGAACGGAGGTTCTTATGGTTGGTGTTGCTTTTGGCAAGTGAATTTATAGTATAAATGAATTTACATTTGCTTGATTCATTTTTTGCAAATGGCCCTGCAGAAGCGTGGGGCCACAGAGCCGTCTCTGTTTTTGAGCTCTCGGCCAATGCGGGAAATGTCAAGTCTTTCATCAGGGGAGATGGTTGATGCTTGATAATCACTGATGATGTTTTGAACAGTTATGATGTCATCATTGTCATTGATGTCCTCTAGACCAAATAAGATGGCGTTTGGACGTTTCCGTTCACGCTCAACAGCTTCTCTGATGAGGATTGGGATATCATTATTTGTCTGATTTTTTTTTTTTTGTGGATTGGGTTGTGGATTGGGTTGTGGTTGTTGGGTAGAGATGTGGTTTATAGCTATTGGATGTTCAGGTTTTTGCATTGTGTCTTTTTTTTCAAGGTTGGATAATCTTTCTTTGAAAGCATCCAGGGATGCTACTATCGTGTCAAGGGATGTTATTTGTGTTTCTATGGTATCAACTCTTTCAAACAGATCCAGTTTGGGTCTGCATGATTTGCAGAGATATGGAAACTCATTGGATGATTCTAGGTATTGAATCATTTGCTCAGGTAATCCCAAGCAGTCATGATGAGCATATTTGTTACGTAGAAAACATTTGATGGAATTTTCATTATCCTTTAGAGTTTTGTAGCATTTAACGCATGTGCAGGAGTCTTGTGGTTCATTGGTGGGGATTACTTTCTCTTTAGGTTGTGGTTTGGCATTTGATTTTTTTCTTGGCATGGTAGGTTTGTTAAGATGGCACGTTGGTTAAATTACTTAATGAAACAATTTTGGGTAATCAATATAGCCAATATCACACCAATCAATCAATTGCAATAAACTCTCTAGTGAAATAATTTTTCTAAGCAACTATCAGCCTAATCAATTAATTACACTAATTGCAAATCAATTAATTACACTAATCATTAATCACACTGTTCAATTAAATTCACTTAATCACTAATTTTACTAATCAATTAAATTACATGAATCTTGATCTTTAAAACTCATCAGTAATCACACTATTTGCACTAAACACTCTAATCACACTAATCAATTAAAACAATAAATCAATTAAACCATTAATAAATTATTTTATAGAAATTGATTATCTAATCATTGATATAGGTAATGAGGTAGAAAAGTTGTAAGTTTTGAGGTAATGAATTAATCAGTGCTTGGTTAAAGTAATGAGGTAGTATTGAGAGTCTGCAAGGAAAGGGATAATTGTTTTACTAGCAGCTGTTATTTACTGGGTAGGAGGAATTTATTGCTCTGATTGCTGCTGTAAACAATAGGCTGTAACAAGATGTTCAAAAGCACGCTGGATTATTGAAAGAGAGCAAAACTCGCTGAATTAAAACACTTTAACTACAATCAATATGTCTCTGAATAAGATTGTTTTCCAATAGTTTCCTAAAGTTCTTCAAGTTGAGTAGTAGTAAAAATACAGTCCAGAAATTTGGGTAAACCAATCCAACCTCTCCTTTACTTTTAAAGTTACTTCTAGCTGTAATATATTTTTTTAATTAAATCTGACAGTCACTCCTGATAGTTAATTGCAGCTAATTTCCTCCTTTGAGTCCTACTTTCCAGGAAAATTCCACTGCAGAAATTGGAGTGATTCTTACTGAGATCGTACAAGATCTTTCCTTTCTTTTTGACATCCATCTCAGCTGCCTTCCTGGCCTGGATTCAGCCATGCTGGCAGTTCTCTATTTAGTTCGGATGGAGGGGTTTTCTTCGGGTCAGTCGAGGAGACTCCACTCTCCCCACGACCACAGAATCATCCCTCTGCCTTTACCACCCATCCAGG